TCAGAAGGGGATAAATGATAATTAAGAACATAGCATAGGCCCTGGCCAGTTTGGCTCAGTGGTTAGAGCATCAGCCCGTGGACTGAAGGGTCCCAGGCTCAATTCCATGCAAGGGCACGTACCTCAGTTGCAGGTTTGATCCCAGGCCCTGGTCAGGGCATGTGTGGGAGGCAACCAGTCAAAGTGTCTCTCTCATGGGGATGTTTCTCTCTCTCTCTCTCCCTTCCACTCTCTCTGAAAAGCAATGGAAAAAATATTCTCAGGTGAAGATTAAAAAAAAAAGAAACCCAGCATAGTCCTGGTCAGTTTGGCTCAGTGGTTATAGCATTGGCCTGAGGACAGAAGGGTCTCAGGTTTAATTTCTGGTCAAGGGCATGTACCTTGGTTGCAGGTTTGATCCCCCAGCCCTGACCCAACCTGTGTAGGAGGCAACCAGTCAGTGTGTCTCTCTCATAGTGATGTTTCTCTCTCTCCCTCCCTTCCACTTGCTCTAAAAATCAATGGAAAAAAATCCTTGGGTGATAAAAGAAAAAAATCCAGAATAGTCACATCACATATGAACTGTTTCTGTTTAAATAAATTGATTATATATATATATATGAATAGGGACATTTTCAGTGGTCACTTAACATATATGGTAATGTGGTAGCCCCCCCACACACACAGAGTCTAATCCAGAAGCAAATACATCAGTTGCACATAATGAAAGTATAATGAGGTTGAATATTAAAAGCATATTAAAGAGTCATAAACTAAAGCAGTATCATCTTCAGTGAATATTATCATTGGCTCTTACGGAGGCCACCAAATATTGGGAGCGGTGTGCTTGGAACCAAATTTTGGTCCCAGTTCTGTGCCATCATCAGAAGTCTGTGAATGTGTCAAGTGCACAGGGTGTACCTTTAGTCTGGTGACTCAGGGTACCTATCCTCTTCATCTTCCCCTCGATAGTTTTGGGACTGTGCCTGAAACTCCCAAATTACTACATCATTCCCTTTGATTTGTCAGCACTGCAGGCCCCACTAAGAGCAGGACAAGTGGGACATTTTCAATCATATGCAACTTAACTGTTTTACATAACTTTTTTTCTTCATTGAAAAAGTAATAAATTCTTTAAGGTAATTTGGAAAATATACAAAAGCCCCAAAAAGAATATAAAAAAGCACCTATAATCAGTGGTAAGCACCAATATTATAGTGCATTTTCTTCCTTTTCTTTCTAAGCACTTTTTTTTTCCGTGAACACAGAATATTTTACGTACTGTTTTAAATCTGCTTTCATTACTTCATAGTATATAGTGAAATACTTCTATATGATTAAATATTCTTTCCCAACATAATTTTTTATTCTTACAAAATATTCCATTGTAAGGAAGGACTATAATTAATGTCTTCTGGGGGGCATTTATTCAGAATTTTTTTTTATATTTTAGTTGTAATTCCAATTTGGTCCTGGGAGAGTGTGTGTAGCTTCCACTCAGTCCGCTGCCATCTTTAATCTCCTTTTGGGGGACATTTAGATTATTTCCTTTTAGCTACCCCTTCGTGGAGTGCATGTTAAAGCTAAAGCTCTGTACGTATCAGTGTTTATTTCCTTAGAAAATAATCACAGGAAAAAATAGTTGGGGCCAAGGGTATGCATATTTTTAAGCTCTCTCTCTTTTTCATTTTATTTTATTTTTATGTTTTTATTGATTTCAAAGAGAGGAAGAGAGAGAGAAACATCAATAATGACAGTCATTGATCGGCTGCCTCCTGCACACACCCCCACTGGGAACCGCTGAGCCACTCGGGCTGGGCTCTCTTTTTTTAATGTAATGACAACTATGCTTCAGATATTGTACCACATTATATCCCCACTAAGTGTTTGTAAATGTACCTCTGTTTCTGTGTACCATTACCAACATTATTTCTTGTAATAATAATAATTTAAAAAAGCCTGTGAGTTTGATAGATGAAAACATGCACCTATTAACTTTCTTTTATCAGCTTAGTCTTAGTTCAGAATAGAGTTCAGTAAGTTTGACTAGAGAGTGGTAGTGATGGAGTAGGGGAAGGAGGGGAAGCAAGATCCAGGGCATGGGAATTGCTAATCGATTTTATAAAATAAAGTTGAAATATGATACTTGAAAGTTGGAAAATCCAGCCCATGAGGTTTCTATTACAGTGGGGGAACTCTTAAGCAAGGGGTCAGATATTTCATCCCCCCACCCCTGCAGGGAGAAAGGTCCAGAGGATCTTTCCCTCTCCCTCTCCCTGAAGGAAGCAACTACTACAATTCAGTTCAGTCCAGTCTAAAAATCACTGGGTCTGTAGAAGGAACACAAGTTCTTTTCAAACCCTGTGACTTTAGGCTTTTCCACCACTCTGGCCCTGGTGATGTTATTCTCACTTTAAGAAAGTGAGAATAGCCCTGGCTAGATAGCTCTCAGTTGGTTAGGGCATTGTCCAGATACACCAGGGTTCTGGGTTTGACCCCAAGTCAGGGCACATACAAGAATCAACTAATGAATGCATAAGTGAAACAACAAGTTCATGTTTCTCTCTCTCTCTCTCTGTAAAAATTAATAAGTAAATTTTAAAAAAAGAAAGTGAGAATAAATCACACCAATCTTGAAGATTTACTGTGGAACTAAATCAAGTCATACATTTGAAAATATTTTGTAAACCTTAACTGTTACAAAGGAGTGTGGCAGGGGAATTACAGTCTAAAGTCAGCAAAGCAAGTAAAGTTAAAATTGAGTGCAACAAGTTACTCACGAGTTCCTTAAACTACACCAGTGCAGAAAGATGCTCACCTTAGGAGTTTGAGAACAAAGAGCCTCTGACCAAGAGCTGAGACAAATACACTCTCAGTAAAATTGCCAGTGGAATTGCTGCAGTGTAACTTATTTTCATTTCCCCTCTCTTTCTGCCAAGTGCATAAATGAATCTGAGTAAGTTAGAAGAAAGTATGATGCAGCTGTTATTCTTCTATAAATTTATATTGGCAAGTCAAGAAACCTCTCTGGGGCTCTTTATTTGTCTAATGGTGTAGTTCAGCTGGATCAGGATTTCATCCAATAGTTCATTTGACAAATATTTTCATTGTTTATTATTTTTACTATGCTCCAGGCTGCTGTGCTGGAGTGGGGAGGTGCGGGGTGGAGGAGAACACCAGGAAGGAGACAAGAGTCTGACCACAAGAGGCTGGCAGTGGTGAGGCAGTTTCAACTTTGATTTGAGGAATCTGGTTCTTTGATCAATTTCTGGGGAATGCAGTGAATGTTTAGAAAAATTATGGAAAGGTACATATTGTTATGAATACCAGCTACAATGCTACATCTGATATGGATTAAGTTACTTATTTTTGTTGTTTATGTTGCTACTTTTTAACGTGAGTTAACTTCTTGTTTTTAACATGGGCTAACTCAAGCAATTTTAATTGAAAAGTAATATAAACATGGAAAACTTCAAACTGTACAAAAAAGGTAAACAATGAGAAGCAAGTCTTTTATTCTAAACTCCCCCCCTCCCACTCCACACTCTATCTCTACTCATGCTGTCCACCTAGTCACAGGTAATCACTGGTCAATACTTTAAAAGAAACAGTTGTTAAGGTGATCCCTGTGGTCCAAAAGTTAAACACTGAACTACAGAATGTCTCAAGACGTTCCAGCTCTAAAATAAAGTCCAATTCTTTTCCCATACATACCCTACGGAGGGTGCAAAAGAGAAGGCCAGCCTCACCTTGTCTAACATAACTGGTAAAAGGACCGATGACTGCAAATAAATTAAAAATTATAGGGCGTCCCCCCCAAATGTATACACACACTTTGAATAATTATAAAGGCAGTGTTTATTAAAGTACATTTCATTTTCAAAATTGAGCTATCAGCTGTTAAAGCATGTATACATTTTGGGGGCACCCTGTATATGCTAGATTTAGTACTGAAGGACAGAGGACAGGACTCAGGCACTTTCCTTATTGAATAAAGGCTCCCTCTAGGAGGTAAGCTCCATGAGGGCAGGAATTTCACTACCAGCTTTCACCGCAGACCTCAGCACACATTAAGACATCACTGGGCCTAGGACCCAACAGCCCAGGACTAAGGTCGCGCCCAGGAGCCCGGGGTGGAAACTGTAGCAGGGAGGGTCACGTGACAGCCCCCTCCCCCAACCTCCCTTCCTCCCCGGCCAGCCGCAGTCTTTAGAGGCCTCACCAACCCAGAACGGAAGTCAAATTCGGCTAGGCCAGGGGAGGGGCGTGTACCGCAGCAACGCCCCGCTGGGCTCCACCTCCTTGCCTTGGAGTCTCAGGCGCTAGTCCACCCCTCCCGGCCCCGACCATTCACTCCAGTTTGCCAGCGGGAGGTGCAGAGGGGCGTGGAGCAAAGCCCCTTGCGTGATGACGCTGCGCAGAGGGCGCACGTGAAGATTAGGGCGGAGCTTCGGAGTACCGAGCTAAGGGGAGGAGGAGTCTCCAGTGCGCACGCGCGCGCGGCAGCCTTCCCACGCGGCGCAGTGTGGTGACGCCCGTGCGGCCCGAGGACGGGGCGGGGCCGGGGCGGGCCT